CTTCCTTCCTTCCTTCCTTCCTTCCTTCCTTCCTTCCTTCCTTCCTTGTCTTTCCTCCCTCCCTTCCACTTCTTGTTCTCCATTAATCATTACTCCTCCCTTCTTTCCTCCCTCCCTCTTCCTTTTCCTCTCTTTCCTTCCTCCCTCCCTCCCGTCTTTTTCTCCGCCCTCCCTTTTTCCTTTCTCCCTCCCTTCTTCCTTGTCTTTCCTCCCTCCCTCCCTCCTTCTCCAGGACGGGTAAAGTCAGAGTGTGTGTGGGGGGGAGGTTTCCTCTCTTTGGAGACCCCCCCTCTCTTTATCAACGCCCGTTTTGGCCGAAGGCGAGTAGCGTATTTGCGCAGAGACCCGGCGCTAGGACCCGGGGGGAGGAGTCGGGGCTCGTCAAGGAGGAGACAGAGGGAGTGCGGGACTTCCTCGCGCATGCGTACGGCGGCGGGGGGCGTGTCCGTGGCTACGGAAGCCGGGCCGGGCCGAGGCGAGAGAGTGGCCGCCGCGCCTTCCTTCCCTTTCCGCCACCGGCCGATCTCCGCCTCTCGGGGAAGGAGCTGCAGGCAGCCGCTTCGGAGGCCCAGACGAGGCTTCGGTCGGTCCTTCCTCCCCAGCGAGGCCTCTGTTGCAGGTGCGTAGGATTACGAAGCCCATCCGCCCGCCCGGCACCGCCAGTCCCATCGTCCCCAGCCGCCAATCTGTCAACTTCCCCGGGGCGGTTCGACTACATTTCCCATCGTGCCCCGGTCGGCGTGGCTGGCAACCTCCGCTGGCTGCGGGGAGTGGGGAGGAGGGAGAGATGGGAATTGTAGTCCAACCCCCCCCAACCTTAGTCGTAGGGGTACTTCATATCCCATCATCCGCACCCACGCTTTGGACTGCAGGATAGGCTCGCCGATCCTTTTCGTCCTTTCAAAAAGGGGTTGCACCCCTATACCCATTATCCCCAGCCACTTGGGTTGTAGAAACTTTCTGGCTGGGAGAGATGGGAGTTGTAGTGCAACACCATTAACACCCCCCCCCCCCAATCCCCGTTGCTTTAACTAGAGTTTTATGGAGACTTTACATCCCAGGATCCCCACCCGGGCTTTGGACTACAAATCCCATGTTGGGCTTGCCATTCCATTTCATCCTTTGAATCAGAGGTGGGGGGGGGCTGTAGGTTGCTGGGGTATTGTACCATAGGGCCCATTATCCCCAGGCACTGATTTGTTATAGACTTTCTGGCTCCGAAGAGATGGGAGGTGTAGTCCAAACCCCCCCCCCCCCCATCATCCCTTCTTGCTTCAAGTGGCTCTGGGGCAAGGAGGATGTGGGGTACTTCAGATCCCATAATTCACAACCAGGCTTTGGACTACATATCCCAAGACAGGCTCACTGTTCCGTTTCATCCTTTCAATCAGAGTTGGTGGGGGGGGTGTAGGGTACAGGTGGGGTTGTACCCCTGGATCCATTATCCCCAACCACTGGGTTGCAGAAACTTTCTGGCAGGGAGAGATGGAGGTTGTAGTCCAACCATTTCCCCCAGTTGGAATACATCTCCCATCATCTCTGCTCTTCAACTGGTTAGGGGGAGATGGGAGTTGTAGTCCAACTACTCTCCCTATATGTAGTGGAATACGTCTCCCATCATCACTGTTGTTTTAACTGGTTTGGGGGAGATGGGAGATGTAGTCCAAGCCATGATTCATATACCCCCTGCTAACTGGAACTGCGATCCCAGCTAACTTGACTGGCAGTCCTCGACTTATGACCGTTTTGCAATGGTTCCAAGTTACAACTGTGCTGAAAAAAAGGGACTTAGGTTTCACCCTTAACGACCGTCAGTATCCCTGGGGTCACGCAGGGCTTTGGGCTCACACGATTCTGCCTTTGTGACCAGCAGGAAGGTAGATTCGCTTCAAACGACCGGGCAATTCGCTTAGTGACTGCGGTGGCTCACTTAACAAGCGAGGGGGAGAAAAGTTGTGGAGTGGGGCAAATGTCTCACTTAACGACAAATGTGTCGGGGCGTCACCTGCATTTGTCTCACATAAGGGCGGCAAGGAAGGGCGGACCAGGGGCCCAATGTCTTGCTTAACGACAGGAAGTGAGTTCAGCAGTGGTGGTAAGTCGAGGACTGCCTGGATGGCTTTAGAACATGGGTTTTGGAGTACAAGATCCCCCCCACCCCACCCCCCCGTTGAGGACCGTTTCTAGGACTCCAGTCTCAAAATGACAAAATCACACCTGGCAACTTTAACCCAGATTTCTTTTCTCCAACATGTCTCAATCCTTTCTCTGGTGGCGGGTTGAGTCACCCTAAACAACTTTCGGTGATTTAGGTGTGTCTTTTTAACACAAGTCCCTTGTTGTGACCGGATAGGCGGCTCAGTTGTGCAAACAGGTCCAGGGAGTGTGTTTGTGGGGTTTTTTTTTGTGTGTCATTTTTTCCATGCTTGTCTCTCTTCTAACAGAAGGCAAACTGTGCCTGAGACTTTGAATCAATATAGGACCAAAATTGATCCATCCATCCATCCATCCATCTATCTATCTTTTCTTCCTTCTTTTCTTTCTCTTTCTTTCTCTCTCTTTCCTTCCTCCTTTTCTTTCTTTTTTCTTTTTTCCTTCCTTTCTTCTCAACTTTCTCATTCTTTCTCTCTTTCCTTCCATCTTTCCTTTCTCTTTCTTCCTTTCTTCCTTTCTCTTTTCTTCCTTTCTTTCTTCTTTCCTTTTTCTTTCTTTCTCTCTCTTTCCTTCATTCCTTCTTTCCTTAATCTTTCTTTCTTTCTCTCTCTCTCTCTCTCTCTCTCTCTTTCCTCCCTTCCTTTCTCTCTCTCTTTCCTTCCTTCTTTCCTTTCTGTTCCTCTCTCTATATATATCTCTTTCCTTCCTTCCTTTCTCTCTCTCAATCAATCAATCTATGTATCTATCCTTCCTTCTTTCCTTTATCTTTATCTTTCTCTCTTTCCTTCCTTCCTTTTTATTTCGTTCTTTCTCTCTCTAGCTATTTTTCCTTCCTTCTTCCCTTTCTCTCTCTTTCTTTCCTTCCTTCTTCCCTTTGTTTCTCTCAATCTATCTATCTATCTATCTATCTATCCTTCATTCTTTCCTTTCTCTTTCCTTCCTTCCTCTTTCTTTCTTTCTTTCTTTCTTTCTTTCTCTCTTTCCTTCTTTCCTTTCTCTCTATCTTTCTTCCTTCCTTTTTCTTTCCTTTCTTTCTCTCTCTTTCCTTCTTTCCTTTCACTCTATCTTTCCTTCCTTCATTTTTCTTTCTTTCTCTCTTTCCTTCTTTTGTCTTTCTCTCTCTTTTCTTTCTCTCTCTCTCTCTTTTTCCTTCCTGCCTTCTTTCCTTTCTCTTTCTCTCTCCCTCTTTCCTTCTTTCCTTTCTCTCTCTATCTTTCCTTCCTTCCTACCTTTTTCTTTCTCTCTCTCTGTCTCTTTTTTCTTTCTTTCTTCCTGCCTTCTTTCCTTTCTCTTTCTCTCTCAATCGTGCAACCCTGCATCCGTCGTAAACAGGAGTCCATTGCTAAGGGTCCGAAATTTGATCCCCCCGCCGTAAGGACATTACAACGGTTGTTTCCTTTCTAAAAACGGCCGTGTCCCTGTTTTTCTATTCCCGTTGAACTTCAAACAGTCACTAAGCAAATCGTCATAAGTCGAGGACTATCTGTTTTATAATATATGAAATAATCCGTGTGGGATCCTGGATGCAATGTCCTTTTAATGTTCGAAGTCCGCTTGTTTTTTTACCACGTAAATTATGGTTTTTTTTTAAAAACTCCGGGTCAGTTGATGGTTCCTGCCTTAATTTCCCCTTGTAAATAATAATTAACGAAAAAAATATTTCCTCATGCTATTTATTTCGGAACAGAGGAAGTAATATGCTATTTATGTGCTTTGGCTGGATGGCTTTTCCAAACCCCCCCGTTCCGTGTTGGTAATCCTCTTGTAACCTTGATTTATGGAGCAGGATGTCGCAAGCCTCCGATTTTAAACCAAACAGTTTCGTTGTCTTTGAATTTATTTAAAGCACAATATTTTCAACTCGGCATCCCGAGAATCGGAGGAAAAACGAAGAAAAAAAAATTTTAAAAATTGAATTTTTTCCCAATGATTAGAATCCTTTAAGAATTCTGAATTATTTCGATTCATCAGTTATTTTAATATAATGGTCATTGACGTTGCTTTTATTCTTTCGATCCCATATGCCTCTTCCGACTCTCTTATTTCCACGTTTTATCTTCTGATTTTATATTCCAGGGAGATTAAAATTATAATATGTGAAACAGTCCATGCAAATCGGGCATTAAACTTTAGTTTGCTGTTTGTTTCCCCAGTTTTTAATCCAACTGAACCGTTGCGTCACGCCGAATTTATTTCAAACGCTTCATGCATCATCAGATGTGTGTGTCTTAAGAGTTGTGAATCCAGTAGTTTTGTTTTTTTGTGAAGTGCGTGTAGAAACTCGGTTTGGCTCTGACTAGCATCAGAAGGGCTTGGAAATCCTTCCTCCTCGGCACCAACCCCACACCCTCCTCGCATTGATGACATTCCCAAGTGGGGTCAGGAGACATCTGCAAGAAAACCATCCATTTCCTGGAGTACCAAGGATCCCCCCCTCCTTCCTTCCTTCCTTCCTTCCTTCCTTCCTTCCTTCCTTCCTTCCTTCCTTCCTTCCTTCCTTCCTTCCTTCCTTCCCCCCTTCCTTCCTTCCTTCCTTCCTTCCTTCCTTCCTTCCTTCCTTCCTTCCTCCTCCTCCTCCTCCCCCTCCTCCTCCTCCTCATCTTCTTAGACCCTCCCTCCCATCACTGATGATGTCCCCTAGTGGGGTCACGAGATGTCTGCAAGAAGACCACCCAGCTCCCAAGAGACCCCCAGGACCCTCCACGCCAGTGGTTACCTCAATATGTGCCGGTGACTTTATCATAAGGAAGAAATGTGTGGTTCGATGCGGAGTATGTGTGTTGCATTTAATAATTCATAACGCAAGAATAAAATAAATGCAGGTAACTAAATTACTCGGGCCTTTGAAATGTAAGGAGAAGCTACACCTTCTTCTGTATTTCCAATTTAAAAAAAAAAATGAGGGGTTCCCAGCGTTAAAAGGGGTGGGGGGGCGTGGTTTGATGCAAAGTCTTATGCAAATGTATGCAAATGATCCAGTGTGTGTTTCCAAAACCGCTCCTTGTTGGGGTGAGAATCCCACATTCCTTTTTTCTTTTTAAAAAACTCCAGTGTGTGTCAGTGTGTGTTTGTGCTTGCCTTTCCCATGGGAAGGGTTGCGTAGCATCGGCGTTGTGATATTTTAAGAATCGGGGAATTCCCAGTTGTGGTTGCGGCTTGTCCCGCAGGGAGAAAGGCCAGGATCGGAACGGCAACGCCTCTCTCTCTTGAGGGGAACTTCTTTCTTTTTCTTTCATCACGGACAGTCCTCCACTTACGACCCCCGTGCCCGTCGCTGGGGTTGTTCAGGGAGTTTGGCCCTCATTTGCGACTGTTCCGTCCGCCGTTGTTGAGAGAATCGTGCCATTGTGCTCGTCAGGAGGGGATCACGTCACACACACACACACGTACCCCCCAGGATACTGCGACCGTCGTAAATATGAGTCGGCTAAGCTGCTGGATTTTGGGTCCCGTGACTGAGGGGAC